ACATAGGTAAGGGACTGCTTTCGGGTACCAAGCTGTTCCATTTCTCTGTGCAGAGTCCCACCTGGATGAACCTATCTATGGCTTCACATATTCAAGCTAGAATTTATTCCTGAGGATTTGGGAACCTTTGCATTATGGCATTAGATTTCCTGGGGAAAAGGTAACATGCTGCCTGCATTTTACTGAATGTCTACTGCTGTGACTATTCAGCTACAGTAAGAAAGGGCCACACACTGAGTGACTTGCAAACAACAGAAACTCACTTCTCATGATGAGTCAAAGGTTGAAAGATAGGGATGGAGGATGGCATAGCGGTTGGTGTTGAGAGACTTCAGGTGGCAGCTGACTGATTGTTATCTTGTCTCCTATGGCAAAAAGAGAGAAGGATGTTCTGGGGTCTCTGTATGAGGCAACTAATCCTCTTCTGGAGAGATCTTTCTTCATAAACTGATTACTGTTTCTAGTCTCCACCTCCTGATGCTATCACCTTGGAAATTAGATTTCAGCACTTATTGGGAAGGCGACCAGAGACCTTCCAATGAGGCCACTGGTAACTCTATGTGAGTATGTTCTTCCAGCACCCTCTCTTGTCTTATTTAATCCTTGGTACTTGATGGAGTAGCTCCTATTCTCATCCATAACTTGAGATCTGAGACAGGAAGTCATGTGATGTAGCTGGTAGCTTCAGGTTTTGAATCCAGGCCTGTTTAGCACCAAAGCCTACCACTTACCCATAGAAAATAACTGTTTCTCACCAAGTAAGTGGCTAAGTAATAGTGATGAGCACAGGCAGTTTAGATGGAGAAAGTACAACAGGAAGAAAGGAGAAGGGCGAGTGGGGAGGAGCTAGATGAGCTGTGTGAGAAGTGGTGACCGTTGTAGACAGAGTAGGCTGAACAAGGGCTGGAACAGAATGGAGCAAGGAGTACTGAGCACCGAGTGAGGATCCTAAAGAAGTTTGGTGGCTGTTTTAGTCAGTGTTCTATTGCTGTGAAGAGACACCATGACCATGGCAACTCCTTTTTTTTTTTTAAAGATTTATTTATTTATTACTTATACAGTGTTCTATCTGCATGTATGCCTGCAGGCCAAAAGAGGGCACCAGATCTCATTATAGATGGTTGTGAGCCTCCATGTGGTTGCTGGGAATTGAATTCAGGACCTCTGGAAGAGCAGCTAATGCTCTTACCCTCTGAGACATCTCTCCAGCCCCACCATGGCAACTCTTATAAAGGAAAGCATTTAATTGGGGTTTGCTTACAGTTTCAGAGGGTTAGTCCACTGTCATCATGGCTGGAAGCATGGTTGAATGCAGACAGACATAGTTCTGGGGTGATAGCTAAGACTGACATTCAGATTGGCATGCATCAGGGAGAGATGCTGGGCTTGGTTTGAGCACTTGAAACCCCAAACCCCACCCCCAATGACACACTTCATCTGACAAGGCCACACCTACTAATCCCTCTAAAGTAGTGCCACTCCCTAATGAGCAAGCATTCAAATACATGAGCCTATGGGGAGGGGGGTTCATCTATTCCTATTCAAACAACTACAGTGGGGATGGGGCCTGGCTTAATGCCAGGAAGTTGGTGGCAGGAGATGTGGACTCAAAAGTGGAATGGGGAGCTCAGACCCTCACAACAGGTCAAGGAACCATGGAAGGATTTGACAAAGAAAGAAGACCTAGGTGAATAAAGAACAATGATATGCACATATGAAAACTTCAAGGAGAAACTCATTATTTTATATGCAAGGTTAAACAATGATAACGGTGGAATGATGGTGCCAGGTGTGGTTTTTTACCCACCTGCAACCCTGGCATTTAGGAGACCGAGGCAAGCACACTGTGAGTTTGAGCCCAGCCTAGCCTCCTTAAGGCAAGCCTATCACACACACACACACACACACACACACACACACACACACACACACACACACACACACAAATACATATATGTGTAAAATTGGGGGAGAAGTTTACCCTGGTGCATGTAGCATGGATTACATGAGAACAGGTCACAGGGAGGAGACAGATAGGAAACTAGGTAATCAGAAAGAGGCTGCATGGCTCCCACAAACAGTGACAATGACAGTTAAGTGATCTGTGAGTGGGGCAAAGCCAGCTGCTGCAACAAGTAAGCCTCAGCATCTTCACCACTCGATACAGTTGTTCATTTCAAGTTCACAGATGGGTCTTCCTAGGGCATCGTGACCACAGAGATGAGGGCTTCTTGCCCATGGTGGTTCTGTGTGGAGACAGATGACAGCGGAAAGATACGAGTTTAAAGGTCCAGCCTGCAGATCCATCTGCTTTTCAGAACATGGTCACAGCACGATGCAAGAGGCTCTACTCACTAAAGAGGAGTAGTGGGCAGAGCTGTCTCAGCCCTAAAGCAATAGGCACCTTTAAGGGATATTACAGAAGTCAAGGTGGTGGTGACTAGCGAGGTGCTGTCAGGCATTGGGGAGGGAGGAGACAGGCATGAGAGAGTAAACACTACCTCTGACAAGTTCCCATTGGCCCAAGATCATAGTCCACAGTGACCACCCCCTTCCCCCAATTCTTTACTTCCAACCAGCTCACAAGTACTTGCAAAGACTTAGCATTTTTTTTTGATACAAAATCATGCAGACCATTCCAGTCTTGTCTGGATTTTTTTTTTTTATCAATAACAGCTAACTTTATTCAGTGTGACACATGAACCTTTTGTGGACTTTCCCAAGTAATGTGCCAAAGGAGGCAAGCAGTTTTGAAAAATTATTAACTAGTGTATAGTTGTGAAGATAAGGGTCATGGAAAAGTAACTTGGCCAAGATCAGGAAACTGGGAAAGCCCCGGAAGGAGGCGTAGGCTGTCTCCAGGGTCTCTATACCCAGCCGCATATGATATCACGCCATATGTTCAGTAATATTAGGCTACTTTAATTTTTCTCTTTATAAAATTAAAATGTATTTACATCACTTACCCCTTACTTTCATCCCTTCAATCCCTCCCATGTATTGTGCTGCCTCCTTGCTCCCCCTTAAAATTATGGCCCTTATCTTCAATGTGTCTTCATAGGGCTTCATGACCACATCAAGGAGAAACTCGTTATTTTATATGCTAGGTTAAACAATTATAATGATGGAATGACGGTATCCCTACCCAATGCACATGTTGACACCCTGTCCCCAAGCCCCCAGGATGGGGCCCTATTCGAGACAAGGTCTTTATAGAGGTAATCATGTTAACAGATGTCATGTGGGTAGCCCTGGTCAAACATGGCTGGTGGGATGAGATTAGGACACAGATCTTCATGGATGAGGGACACATGGGGACACAGAAAGAAGATGACATTTGCCACCAAGGACCCTGGCCTTAAGGGAAACCATCTCTGATGCCTTGGCCTCCACCTTCCAGCTTCCACAACCAAAGAGCAAATGTCTGTTGTCTAAGCCATCTGCTCTGTGGGATTTTTGTCACAGAAGTATTAGCCAGATAGGACCAAGAGCTTGAGCTTGAGAGCTTTTCCTGAGCTATCCCTGTGGATCCAACATAGGGTTTCAGTAGAAGAGGCCTAAGTAAGGCCCAGAACAAAGGTCTTTGTAAGGAAGAGAGAGGACAAGAGGCTCAGAGCAGATATGATGACATAAGAGGCCAAGTCCTTCAAGTTCCTCTCCCTGGAGATAGAAGAAGAACAAACGGGAACACAGACAGCTGATACAAGCTGCACAGAGCAGGAGATGGATTCTTCCCTGGATCCTCCAGAGGGAATGGAGGCCCTCACTATGCTTTGCTGTAGCTCTCTGAGATCCATTTTGGATTTCTGACCTCCAGAGCTGTAAGATAATACATCTACACAACCACAGTAACAAATTAACAGTCCACTAGGAATTGGATGCTTGGGGATGTTTTGGGAAGTCACCCTTCCACAGAGCCAAAATAAAACCATTGCCATGGCAGTCATTCAGAGAACTGTTTATTTTTCTTAAGATTTATTATTTTATTTTATCTTATTTTATTTTATGTGTATGGGTGTTTTGCCTGCATGTATGTCTGCATACAATGCCCACAGAGGCCAGAAGAGGGCATTGGATCCCTTGGCTGGAGTTACAGATGGTTGTGAGTCACCATGTGGGTACTGGGGATTGGACTTTCAAAGAGCAGCCAGTGCTCTTAACTACTGAGCCATCTCTCTAGTCCTAGAGAAGTGTTTAGAGTAAAGAAAAGGTGGAGATTAGGGAAGGAAAGGTTCCAGAAAGGGGTAGAACCACAGTGCTATTTGTTGAAGTTTGGATCTCCAAACAGTGTAGGGGGTTCACTTGAAAAGTGTGGGGAACCCTTGATCCCTTAACCCCAGGCGTATTTTACAAATATGCACCTGTCACATTTTGAAAGCAAGACTGCAAAATAGAATAGGACCAGAGGTCAAGGTGGGGGTTATCTCCTTCTACCAGCCAGTGAGCAGCCCCACTTTTCTCTTGCCTGGGCCTCCTCCCCCTGAGTCTGATGTAAAAACCTGGCATATCTGTATTTCAGAGGCCTGGAGAGGCAGGTCGGGGTTAGGCTGGCTTGGGTATCATTATCTGAGCATTCCTGATTCCTCCCACCATTATCATACTGTATCACACCTGAAGAGTCCCCCCACCATAATCATACTGTATCATACCCAAAGAGTCCCCCACACACACACCATGATGATACTGTATCACACCTGAAGAGGTCCCCCCCCATGATCATACTGTATCACACCCAAAGATTCCCTTGTCTCTCTTCTCTGAGGATTAGCCTGATTGCTTTCTGAAAGTCAGAGCTAATGCCTTTGTTATATCATCCAGGTTCTGATGTCTGCTGTGGGTTTGGGTAATTGGAATGTCAGAGATGATGTCTGAAGAAAGGAGCAGAGAAGAGGAGGCCAGGGACTGAGGAGTGAGTGATGGAGCTATGGCTGGAAATACTTCCCGTGCATCCCAGGAAAAGAACACAGTTCCCACTGGCATTTTGTTATTTATTGAAGACAATCCCAACTTAGTATGTGTGACTAATAGATAAGGACCATTGATAATGGATTTCCCTTCTTTTTTGCAGTCATTTTGGTGGCTTTTCCAGAGGAACCCACAGGAGAGTGGGAGATAGCCTCATTCTGGGGTACCCTTTAGTGAACTTGTCTTTCCCTTAACCTAGAAGACCTGGACTGTGAGGTGGCCTGGGGTCCCTTTTATACGTAACTGCAGGTTGCAGGAAAACTGAGCATAGTCCCTCAGATACGTGGTCCCTTGCTGGAGACCTAAGGAACCTGGTTACAGAGTGACAGCTCCTGCTTAGGCCAGCAGATTCTCTGAGGCTGCCACTGAGTCTCAGGAGAAAGTCTTGGGCATGAACAGCTATCTTCACACAGGCTAAGCACAGATAGGCTTCTGGGATGGGAGATGAAAGTAAGCCTCAGTAGATCATTTTCTGCTTTGATTTGTGTTCGGAGCATCTGTCCAGGACCTGGTATCTGCCTGCCTCATCTAGACCACAAATTCATTCTAGAATGTAATGTCATCAGGTCAAGTTTTGGGTCTCAATACTGGGCTTGTGGGATCCCTCTGCACCACCATCACCTCAGAGAGGTACCTGAGGAGCCATGCATGAAACCCACTCTGTCTCTATTCTCCCTGACATCCTTCTTGGGAGAGGAAATGTGGCAATGGGGGAACATTTTAGAGGAACAGGGTTTTGTGGGTACAGTCTTCGAATGCCTGGTGAAACAGGATGAACACGTCAGACACTGTGAAATAGAATACAATTCAACATGACATTGATTTCTTTAGGCTTCGGATTAGATTAAATTCTCCAAAACAGAATAGCTACAGGAGCAGGTAATACGTTCTGGTGAGATGGTGCTGTGGATGTTGGTCCTGTCTTCTGACCAGTGAGATGGTCAAAGTCACTGCCCAGGAGGCGTTGTTGCAGAAATGTGGCATTCAGCCCGGCTTCACTCACAGACTGTCCCCACCTCAGGCTTTCACGAGGCAATGGTCTTTGGCAAAAAGCTCCAAGATACGCTGCTTTTGGGGTGATTCAGCCCATTTCCTGGCCCTCACTCACGTGGGGAGCCCAGTAGGAGGAGGTAACCAATATTTGGGATTTTTTTTTTCTCAAAGGTTCTTCTTTGTTTCTGTCTACTGAAGATTTAGCTTGAGGGGTGGAGGTGGGAGGCAGGTACTGATATGGCTGCAGAAGATGTCTAGAACTTGACGATTTCCTGGCATCATGATTATCCCCAAACTCCCTTCCATTGAGACATACATGACAGTGATGTTTGCAAAGACCCTCCTCTCACAACTGTACCCAGACAATGAGGTGTGTGGGGTATGGACTCCAAGTGAGCTGGCTGTGAGCTCACCTGTGTGCTCCCTTACATGAAAGCACCAAGGAAGGAGAGGCTCCATCCCAGGGCTGACCTCCCATGACAGGAGAAAGGAACATGATCTACAAGCCCATCACTGAGGCACTAGCACTCACATTAGTGGCAGCAATAACCCTAGGTTTGGTCCTGACCTGCCTGCATGCTGGGAATGGGTGTACTGGGGGACTTGAGCTCACTGGTATGAGTCTTAATGGAGGACAGGACCATCTTAAGTGAGCCTTGAAAGGCCAGAGGCTCCTCAAACTCTGACTCTTTAAGGAGTTGGTGTGTGTGTGTTTGTGTTTGTGTGTGTGTGTGTGTGTGTGTGTGTGTGTGTGTGTGTGTGTATGTGTGTGTGTGTTATGTGATCTCATGAAAAAAAAATACTGTCCTACAAGGCAACAGAAACAAAGATGGATTCTGACTCTGCCTATGGAAGTACTGTGAATGACTGAGACATCTGGAGACCTGTTGGAGGAAGGTTGCCATGGTGATCCCAAATGCCTGAAGATTGAGGGATGAAGGGAGTCAACTGGAACTAATGCATCTCTTGTCATTCATCCTGTTATCTGGAGCTTTCCCCTGCTCTCTGGCTTGGACTTGCACAGCTTGGGGGATCTGTTATGGGCACCTACAGGCTTCTTAGTGTCTGTAAGAAGTTTTGAGGGCACTTACCTCTTGGGTTATATCTACTTGGTGGGCCCTCTGGAGATGTGTCTCCCAGTCTCTATAGACCCCAGGAGCTTGCAGTGTACCAAGGAGAAGCTGGATGTAAGGCACTTGGGGAAGCAGGAGGGAAGTAGATGAGAGGATGCGACAGCATCCAGGAGCTGCGCAGAATCCTAAGTCCATGGGGTCTCTCTCCCCCAGTTTTTTCACATGCAAGGCAGTTGCTGCCTCCTTACATACCTTGTCCTTTTCTAACACATATTTTCCCTTTGTCTTCAAGAGGGATGAGCCTGGTCTCCAGAAATCTCTCTGACTTCCTGTAAATTTACGTTAGATCCATGTGTTCCCATAGCCACCCCAGGAACTCAGTACGTGGTATTGCCAATTGGCTTGCCTATGACCCTCTCTCTCTCACTTTTGGAAATAAGATGAGATCAGAGACTGGGTCTGGCTGTTCCCAACCTAGGCCCAGAGAAGGAAATTCAATAAACACTTGCTTGTTTGGTGGGGGAGGAGCAGGGATGACAGAGGTTGGGATCTTTGGTGAATCTGTCTCTAGAATCCCATGGAACATTTGGACATGGCATTCTATCTCAGGTTAGGTCTTGATTGAGAGGAAGAGAAGATGACCATCTGTGCCCTTCCATCCTTCTGTTCTAGCAATGCGTAGAGACAGAGTTGATGTGGGGGAAGGAGTTAGAACAAGGAGCATTTATTTGTTCTTGACTAATTGCCAAGATGAAGGCAGTCTGTGAGAAGGGCATTGGAGGGTCAAGGGGAAACCGTGACACCACTTAGCCTGCCTTATTGCCTCTGGTGTCAATACTATGGATTTGGGAATGAACTTCTTTGGCTAGCTAACTTCTAGAACAATGCCCAGAGGAATGATCTGCCCTGGACAGTGTTTTTTCCCCATCCCCCACCCCTGTCCAGATTTTGGAATGTGTAATACATGAGAACTGTCCTATCTCTTATAATGCTAGTCAATGTCTCACCCAAGGAGGGAGCCAAGACTGACAAACCCAGTGGGTCTGAAGTCATCCTTCCCTTCTTGATCAGTTTTGGTTCCAGAAGGATGCAGATGTGGAATCCAGCTTAGACACACAATTATAACATGAAGTTCTTCTTAGGAGCATAGTCAACACCCAAAGAATTTCCCAGCATGCACTGCCCTTGTCAGAGAGAGTAGGCTGGATGATGGTTAAGTGATGAGAATATTGAGAATATCCGAGAGAGCATCAACAGCGATGGAGAAACCAGGTGAGACTCAGCCAGAAACACTGTTAGGTTGTGTGAGGGTGAGACCCTGAGCTCTGTCCTGCCCTCAGGGCCAAGAGGAGGGTTTGCTTGGATCAGCTTTGTGGTACCCAGAGAGAAGGTTAGGAGGCTGGATGCTGGTCAGCAGATCTTCTGGTCAGGCTGCCATCAGCGGTTCAGGAGGAAGAACTTGAGGCTTTGGAAGAAGTTGGACTTCTGCCTTTGCTTCTGCTTCTTTTTGATGATGGGCACCCACACCAGCCCACACACCAGCATCATGAGTCCCAAGGACAGGAAGGCAGGGCCTATCATCTTGAGGACGGGTACAACCTTATTCTTCTCATTCAAGATGTAGGCCACACAGGTAATGGCCACACCAAAGAGCAGAATGGCAGCTCCCACTGACATGATGATGATGGGTTTGCGGTAGATTTCCCAGTTGCTCCTGGGGGTGGTGGTCCAGACAGACTCACTCCTGGAGCTGATGCACAGGGAGCTGGCTGTCTGGCTGGGCAGCAGGTCCTTGGACTCTGGAGACTTCTCGTCTACCTCCAGGGCCGTGGGGAGCACCTCCATCGTCATGGCTGTTCAAGACCAGGCACCTAGTATTGGCAACAGTTAGAAAGGATGGTGAGGCCAAAGGAGTCCTTTCCCATACTTCCTGTACTCAGAGTCCCTCTCCAGCCTGGCTCTCAGTAGAAGGGATTACGGTGTGTGTGTGTGTGTGTGTGTGTGTGTGTGTGTGTGTGTGTGTGAGCACGTTGAAGTTAATGGTAAATCCAGGTGAGATCATCATAAATAAAAATCCCTCCCTGGCTGGGGAATGGCTCATTAGGTAAAATGCTTGCTCTGCAAGTGTGAGAATTTGCATTTGGTTCCCCAGCACCCATTGGAAAAGCAGACATGGCAGCTCATTGGGGTGGAGGTTGGAATGGAGATATGGAGTCCTGGGAGCTTGCTGGCCAGCGAGCCTGGCAAAAATTGGCAAGCTTTAGGTTCACCAAAAGAGCCCATCTCAAAAACTGAGTTGGAGAGCAAGTGAGGAGGACCCTTATTGTCACCCTCCGGCCCCCAACATACATTCACATACGCTAGCGTGCCCATCCACACTCGTGAACACAGACACGCATATAGCTCACACACAAACTCAAAGAAGTGATGATACAAGGTCGTATTTTTTTCTTCTTCTTTTGTTTTCTAAGACAGACAGAAACTCATCCTGTGATCTAGGTCAACATTGTGAATTTGCAATCCTCCTGGCTCTCCATGCTGAGTGCTGGGGTTGCAGGCAGGTGCCACCACCCTGAGCTGATAACATGACACTCTAATAATTACCTTTCCTACTTAAACCAGCGAGCAGTGGCATGTAAGAACAAGCACAAACCACAGTCTATTGAGTGGTGTGTCATTTTCAAGGCCAAACCTTCTCTAGCTGTGTTGTGTGATCTCAAGTGAGTTGTTAACCTCTCTGTGCTTCTGTTTTCTTATCTACAAAATGAGAGTAACGACATTAGTTCCCCTCACAGGGGTTTCAAAAGGGTTAAAGCAGAGCAGGTGTGGGCTGCACTGGATTGATGCCCAGCATATTCTGGGTACTTGGTAAGTGATGCCATTTGCCTGTTGGGATGGCCATGTTCTACCCTTACTCGCTTGGGTGCCTGTGTCTGTTTAACTCTTTACTCACCAGACTGAAGCAACACCATAACACCATGCACTGATCATTAGTCCCATTTTACAGATTAGAAAGCTGAGGCTTGGAGAGGTGAGTTAATTAGTTGGGAAGAGCTCGGGTTTTCACCTGCAGGTCAGTGCCTCTCCAAGCACCTGAGATTTCATGAGCTTTATCCACTAAGGAATCTTAGCTTCACAGTGTGTCACGTGACCTTCTGGCCTGTAAATTTACCACTCCCCGTGATGAAACTGCTGAGGCAGGGCTGAACCTTCCCGTTTGCTTCAGTTTGGATTTGGCTGAATGCGTCCCCCAGGGTTCCTGGTAAGGTTGAGAGCGTGGCACCTTAACCTGACTGTGTTGTGCAGGGTGGGGCCTTGGGGAGGTAGCTAAATTAGAAGAGGTTGTCTGTGATTAGGTCCTTGTGCATTTCTCAGAAAAGGAGGAGAGGCCAGACACGTCTGAGTAATTCCCTGTGCAGACCTGGGACTTCGCCAATAAGGAGTCACTAACAGATTCAGACCCTTGTACCTTCTAAACTGAACTAAGTAAACACACTTTCTCTCTAAAGTAGCTGGTTGCAGCTATTTCATCACAGGAACCGAAGACGTGCTTGTATATAATCTAAGGGCCTGGAATCCAGCTCAACTGCCTCCTCTCTAGACCGCTCAGTCCCAGGGGCTCCCTTATCTCCTGTTCTCCATTCAGGGGACACAGATTCTCATGTGAGTGAAGCGATTCAGATCTGCGGAGAAGCCCTGCCTGCCTGCCAGCAATGGCTCCATCAGATCAGTGTGTTCTCACGTCCCTTCAGTGTGGGATTGAAGCCTCTCAAACTGGAAGTGCGTTCCAGTGCAAATGCCCACTGCAGTAAGGTAACAAGAAATGAATAACTGGCGGAAGATGCTTTCCCCACTGTGGACAGCTTTTGTTTGAGAGGAAGGAAAGGATAAGAAGGTCCTGAGGTTTGCCCCACATCACCATGATGTGTCTGGTACTGTGTTCCACACACAAGAGATTTGTCGGTAAACTTTTGACAGAATGAGTGAGCTCGGAACACACCCTCCTCTGCTTGCCTTCCTTCCTTCCTTCCTTCCTTCCTTCCTTCCTTCCTTCCTTCCTTCCT